ATGCAATCTTCCGATCAATTAATGTAAAATGAAAAATATAATACAGATCAAATCCTGTATGTCAAACCTTCTCCACATAAAATTTGAATTAAACCATTACAATATGTGTGTAGGAGGAATTATATTTTTAAATGTTATGATTCATTTTTTAAAAGTTTTAGGTAGAATTCCCTTTGAACATGCTGTGCACATTAATGGCAAGAAGCAAACGCAGTGTCAAGGTTGAGCGTTTCTTAAAGTTCAATTTGCTGACACTCAGAGTAATAGACACTGCCATTCTCTGCTGTGGCTGCTGTTGTTTCTAACTCAGAAACATATGCTGTATGTATTTAAGTCAAATCTGCCTTTACCTCTTATGAAATAAGATCTCCCTACACCAATAAGCCCTCTGGAAACCTAATTCTGTCTTATCTTGGTTGCCTGGCTGGTGGAGAAAGTCCCCCATAGGCCAGGAGTCACCATTAAGCTGTCTTCTGGGTTTATTTCAAAAACTATTTTAGGGAGATCACTTTAGTTTGATGCATAGTGAGGCCAACCTTTGGAAAAAGCAACTTGGCGATTGTGTATGTGTTGATAACTTAAAAATTATTCATGTGCTTTCATTCAGTAATCTTCCTTCCAAGACTCAATGCTGAGGTACATTACATGAAATTGCCATTTTTGATGTCTCTCTGGGCACCTTGAATAGAACTTGTCCAAACTCCTGATTCTTAACCCAGTTAGCTTCTATTGCGATCATCTTCATCTCAGAAAATGACTATTCCTTCATTCTAGCAGTTGCTTAGGCTCCAGGCTGTAGTGTCCTGGCTCCTCTTTTTCTTCCATACTACATGTCAAATGCATCAGAGAATATTGTTTGTTCCACCTTCAAAACATATTGAGGATTTAATCACTTCTCACCATGCTCATTGCCACCTTCCTGGCACAAGTCATTATCCCCTGTTTCCTGAATTAAGGTTGAGTTCCTCATTGCTCTACTTGCTCCCATACTTGCTCGGATATACTCAGAATAAACCTTTTAAAACACATCAGACCACATATACTTCTTCACTCAAAAATCTCCAAAGTTTTCTCCTCTTGTTCAGAATAAAATCTTCACACCTTTGACTGCAAGGCCACATATGATTTGCTCCCCATCTTTCTGATCTTATTTTCTTCACTTGGTTTCTCTCTCATCTCCACCCTTAATGGTTTCTTTGCTGTTTTTCTGCATAACAAATACAATCTTGCCTAGATTGGTTCCCTTTTCCTGATAAAACTAGTCCCCCAAATAGACACATAGAATCCTTATTTATTTCAATATTCTTTTCAAAAGTCACCTCACAAAGCAGCTGACCCTGACAGAAAATAATATATCAAGTGACATAGGTTACCCTATTATACTCTGCTGCCTTTTTCTCCATAGCAGCTGTTATTATCTGACATGATCTAAAGCTTTTTAGAAACTTCTGGTTTTTTCCGACTCCAGAATGTAAACTCAGAGCAAGAAGCTTTTTTCTTTTGCTTCTGGTTGTATGCTCAGTGCTTGTAACACCAATGCATAACAGGTACTCGATAAATATTGTTGGATGAAGAAATGAAATACAAAGATGGTTTTTATCTACAATAATATTACATATTTCGGGGGGGTGGTATAGCAAGAGTTCATTGCTCTCCCCCAGTATCACTTGCTCAGTTGTTCAAGAAGTGCCACAGGAAAAAAGAGTAGCAGGATCACAGGAAAATCATTAGCACAAAGCTGGAATCATATTAATGTCCCCTCAAAAAGTGAACTTTTGACTTCTTAAAAAGAATCATTAATTGGGCTCAAATTCTCTAAAAGTATATCTAGTGGAAACCAACATTTCACAGATAATCATTTTTTTCTGAACCATTTAAGAGTAAGTTTCAGAAAGAATGTCTCATCATTGCTAAGTTCTTCTTTTTCAGAAGATACTTCAAGCCAAGGCTAATATCCTCCTTCACATCAAACACCCACCTTCCTACCCATCAGCTTTAGTATCCATTGATGACTCCTGCCTAAATTGAACAACACTCTTGTCAGATGGTGACTTTCTGTATCTATTAATCCTTATCAGTAGGTATTTCTACCATAAGGAAGAGCTCCTCCTCTTCCTCTATTTATTTACTCCATCATTTATTTGTATTAACAGTAGCACAGATTCATGTTTTATTCAATAGGTTGTAATCAATTACTAGGATCATATATTTTGATGTTCAGACTGTCCCAGATTTGGCCAGTGGGAGCCCTTTCCAGCTGGCTCTTGTGGCCTTTACACATACTCCTATCATGCTTGGAGCATTTCCTTACAAGAGGTGACAGGCTCACTCTATACTTTCCCAGTGCCAGCTTTAGAATCAGACTGGCTTCTTTTCATGAAGGATGCTATTTAGAAACCAAGATCTTTTGGCCACTTGATGTGCCCTTTGCTTTTGGCCTCTGAATGGAGACAGCTAAGGTACATATGTGTGCACACACATAAATATATATACATACAGTTTTTGAAAAATAATTTTGTACTCTTCGTCAATCCAATCTACAGCCTCAAGGTTATTTATAGCTCACTTTCTTTCCATATTTGTAAATTCCTTCTTCAACAGTAAGAAACCCGGCTAAGAAATTGGGCTAATAAGTAAAATTTTACTCAATATTTTACTTATTAGCCCAATGGCTCTGTAATTAAGCAATCTTCCAGCCATGCTGTCTCCTTGACCCTGCCATCTCTTTAGCCCCTAACTTTTCCAAAGGAAAGAAGGGGAGAAGGGGTAAAGGGAAGAAGTTTATATATATGTTTTACTTATTTATTTTTTTGAGATGTAGTTTCACTCTTGTTGCCCAGGCTGGAGTGCAATGGCACGATCTTGGCTCACCACGACCTCTGACTCCTGGGTTCAAACGATTCTTCTGCCTCAGCCTCCGAAGTAGCTGGGATTACAGGCAGGAGCCATCATGCCTGTCTAACTTTGTATTTTCAGTAGAGACGGGGTTTCTCCATGTTGATCAGGCTGGTCTCAAACTCCCGACCTCAGGTGTCTGCCCACTCGGCTTCCCAAAGTACTGGGATTACAGGTGTGAGCCACCGCGCTTGGCTCATATAGTCTTAATAACATAGCTTCTCCAAGTTTTCCAGCTGTAGAAAAAAAAGTGCTAACCAATAAAGAAGACTGGGGAATCACTATGGGTTGCTAAAGGCATCTGCTCAGAACCTAGCCAGTGGACTCCTCCCTCAGATCTCTGGTGGTTCAGGAATCAGCAGCCAGGTGTCTCCACTTTTGTCTCCTTGGCATTAAGCTCTATAAAAAGCACTGTCCCAATTGCCTAGAAGCCTATTTTCTAAAATGAGTAAGCTAGGAACACATACAAATTCAGCACACCAAATGCCATAGAGACAAATTCTTCTAAGTAGTTCTTCTTGTGCCTGCTTCTAATTTGGGTATTACTGAGGCTCTCTGCTCTTCCTTAACACCCACCAGCTGTTTGCACTGCTGCCAGAAAAAGAGGAGTTGTACTGGCGAATATTCACTAACCAAGAGCTGTAAACACGTAAAGTCCTGGGGAAAAGGTAGACTTTCATTTTTAAAATTTAAATCGTGAATGGGTCCTGAGTTCTCTGAAAGAGCATCAGGTGGGAAACACAATGTGAATGGTAGAGAACCATCCCACAAATATTTCTAGAGACTCTATGGCAGGTATCTTAAGCGAAGGAAAAGCATGACCGAGAACAGATAACCACCACCCAAACGTCTAATTGGTAAGGAACTGTGCTGTACCACAGTTTTAAGAACACTACCCTAGGGGGACTGTACTGTCTGCTGACTATTGTAATCCCTAAACTGGAGCGCACTCTATAAACAATAACCCAAACCTCCCTTGCTTGTTGGTGCTGCGAGTCCCCTGCTCCCAGTCATGACAATCAGAATAAACACAGTACAGAAACGTCTCACTGGTTTCTCTTCTTATAGAGTGAGAAAACACCTATAAGAAAACAAATGTTACGTCTTTGCTTCCAGATGGGCAGTACTTCCTACTGGAAGCCCATTCTCATACCCATCTTAACAGAGTGCCTGCTAGACCAGCAGCATCAGCATCACCCGGGAACTTGTTAGAAATGCTTATTTGGGGGCCCTACCCCAGATCTACTGAACCAGAAGCTTTGTGGCAGGACCCATCAGTCTGAGTTTTTTTAAACTAAACATTTGATAGCAACGGCCCTATGTCTTCCAGAAGTAGCATGGAAAAACCTCGATACCAAACCACCTTATAATTGGCCTTTAGGACAGGTAATCAGGAAGCTCTCGGCAGTTCTTCCAGCGAACGGGAGGGGCGTTGACGAGCGGCACATACGTTTGTTACATGCAACTCTCCAGAAGTTAAGAAGTTATTCCTGTGCTCATAGGTCAAGGGGTCGCTTCCCCTTTTCCCCCCACCTGGATGGAATCGTCCCTTGAGGCTGAGTTTGAGACCCGGCAGGGGTCGCTGCTGCCCATCAAGAGAGACCAAGGGAGCGTGGCAAGAGCAGCCCAGGAGCTTTGACATCACACTAAGCTCCTCCTTGCACGCACACATTATTACACGCACACACACACACACAGACACAGACACACACACGGACCGCGTACTCCGCTCTGCCCGCTCGTTCCCACCGCCGCCCGCCCGCGGCAAGCGTGCGCCCCGGCGCAGCCCCCGGCGAGGCCCGAAGCGCGGCGCCCACAGCCCGACGGAACCGGCGCGCGGCGGCCGCGGCTGCAGCCGGACCTGCGCGCCCCCGCGCTCCGTGGCGGGACCCCTTCGGCAGCACCCCGCACCGCGGCGCCCGAGACTGCGAGCCACCGTGCCCGCCCCCGTCGGGACTGGAGGGCGCAGGGCCGCCACCCTGCAAGTTTCCGGGCTCCCGGCCAGCCTTATGAGAGAAGGCGAAGCCGGGCGAAGGAACAGGACGCTCGGCAGCGGGACTCCTCCGCAAGCCCCGCGGGCCCCCTCCTCCCGCGCCCCCCGGGCGCCCGAGAAGCGACATGCAACCGCCGCGCTCCGGCTGAGAGGGAAAGGGGCCGGCGCCATCCGCTCGCCCGGAATCCGGTCCCCGCGGCGGCTGCGCGTCCGGGCCGCGGCCCCTCGGGCCCGGGAGTGAGCAGCAGTAGCAGGAGGAGAGGCGGCCGGCACGGCGTTGGCCGGGGCTGGGGAGGAGGGACGGGGCGGAGGGAGGGCGCGGGGGGCGGGGAGGGGGCCCCGGCGGATAAAGATGGCAATGTCTCTCATCCAAGCGTGCTGCAGTCTGGCTCTCTCAACATGGCTGCTTTCCTTTTGTTTCGTGCATCTGCTCTGCCTGGACTTCACCGTGGCCGAGAAGGAGGAATGGTACACCGCCTTCGTGAACATCACCTACGCCGAGCCCGCGCCGGACCCGGGGGCCGGGGCAGCTGGCGGCGGCGGCGCGGAGCTGCGCACGGAGAAGACGGAGTGCGGGCGCTACGGGGAGCACTCGCCCAAGCAGGACGCCCGCGGGGAGGTGGTCATGGCCAGCTCGGCCCACGACCGCCTGGCCTGCGACCCCAACACCAAGTTCGCCGCCCCGACCCGCGGCAAGAACTGGATAGCCCTCATCCCCAAGGGCAACTGCACGTACAGAGATAAGATCCGGAACGCGTTCCTGCAGAACGCCTCCGCCGTGGTCATCTTCAACGTGGGCTCCAACACCAACGAGACCATCACCATGCCCCACGCGGGTGAGTGGCCCCGCGGGCGCGGGGGAGGGGAGCCGGCGGGGACAGGGGTGCCTAGAGGGATCCAGCGTCTGCCTCCCGGCTCCTTCTGGGAAGTCCGTGGGGCGCGGAAGACAGGTCTGGGTTCCCTGGAGCGATGAAGTTTGGCTCCGCGTCGCTTAGGGGGCTTACAAAGAGGAGAGCTGTTTGGTGGCGGGGAGAGGCTGCCAGAGAGCTTGGCAAAGCGCCGCTTGGACGAGGACTCAACGTGGCGGGCTAACTTTTCCGAGGGGGACCGGGAAGGTGGGATTTGGAGGGCAGGGCTCAGATATTGTAGGTTCTAGGTTAGTGACCGGCCCGGCACTTGTTTGGAACCGGTAGATCTGATAGCTCAGTACTGCTCTTGGGTTTGTGCATCAGGCATATCCCTGACGCAGGCGTCCCTGTATATCAGGAGAGTGGTAGGGTTACCAGCTGGCAGCTCACTACCGCGAACTTGCTTCTTCAAGTCAGGTTTCAGCTCTTCGAGGGAGAGTTCTCCCTTCCGGGTTTACGCTCTTCATTAATCGTATTTAAAGTACTATGCTCTGCCAGGCTGTCAGCCAGAGAAACTGACAGGTGGCCACGATGGTAAATAATAACAATCCTCAACAAGCCAAGAAGAGTGTGATGGCCCTAACGTTGTAACCACTTTTCTAGTTATTGCATTATCCTTTGCCTAATTGGGAGGTTAAATATGCTGCAGGTTTTCTCTGGCTGGAACGAAGCGTTTTCAGGCTAGGAAGAATAAGTTTTTGTTAATGATCGCAGGTACCAGCATTAGAAATGCATTACTGTCCCAAAACTCAGTAACGCATATGTCTGATATAAGCAATGTTTCCTACTGATTGTAGGAACCGCTCTCCCCTACAAAACAAAAGCCATCCCCAGGCTTGTTAACATAAGTCCATAAGCCACTAGTTTTAGCAGACTAGCCTCCTTATGTCAGGGCTTGCTGCTTGCATTTATGTGCCTGAGAAGTGGACCTTCCGTCCCCAGAGGGGTTTTTGAGCTGAGACTGTGGCATCCATTGCCCAGGAGGGGAGAAAAATGACAGATGCATTTTCTGAGTGGAGTTTTCTAGTCAAAAGTATTGTTTTCTTTAAAAACCAGATTTGACTAAATAGTCACGCTGCTGAAATGGAACACCAAGCTCTGGCTACATTTGCAGGAGTGTTCTCTTTGGGGACAAGTTTCCATTCAGAGAGCTCATGTCACCTATTAGTGAAATATTCAGTTGGTTTGCCTCCAGTAATCAACACCAGCTGTTTTACTCAGGGAAATTTGTCAACCTTACAAACAGGTGGGGAGGGGAAATGTTCCAGACTTCTAAAACACAGGCAAGAAGAATGCAGTGTGTTAATTAATGAAGAGGAGGAGAGGCAGTTACTTTCTTAGAAAAGTTACCATACAGCATTTTCAAAATATTCGATATATTTTTTTGAGCTTGACAATTTTCTAAGGGAAAAGATGGTACTCTAACCTTGAAGCGCTACTGAAACTTTGATATTCAAGGATGTTAAGGACCGTGGAAAGCACTTTAAGTCATGTAAAGTATCTTTAGATAAACATGTTAATATTTAAAACCTCAATGAAAGGGGGTGAAGGAGGCTTTTGTTTTTGCTCTTTAAACTCCAAGGAGATTGTTAGCTGACTTTGTGAGATTCTTTGTTTCTCTGTGCATATGCATGAAATCTTAAACTCAGCTTCTTTGAACATGAAGAGGCATCATTTGTTCCTCTCTAAAAAGGTTCTCTAGAACTGCCAACATATTGGATCGATTAATGGCTTGCTTGTTTTTAAAGAAAGCAGATTTCCCACACAAATGATGCTTGATTAAGACAGTGGGAGTAGAAGGCTTAGTAATACTGTAGTTTGAAAGTTAAAGGCAAAAAATTTGGAAATTCTCTATTACTTAATTGTTCAGCTTCCAAAAATGTATTAATGCTGTATCTGGCAAAAACCAGTAAGCTCCATATTATCTTCTGACATTTTGCCACATTAGGAGACTCACTTTAGTCAGAGGCTAGCATTGATTTCTGATAGAGTGTCATTACGAGCAGATACATGTCAGGGTAGCAGGGTTAAACCCTTGAATATACTCTGAAATTTGCCTGCCTAAATCTCAAACACTGCCAGCACTTGTCTGGCTATCAGTGCCTTTCATGTAGCTCCAGATCTTGACAGCTCTATCTAGTTAAATTTGAGGTCAGATTCCTAAATTCACTTTGGGAAACTGCACATTTTAGTTGCTAATCAAATATTTTTATTTTGTGAACTTGAGTTACAATACCAGAGAATCTTCATATTTGTAAACTAAAATTCAGTTTTTAAAAAGTTTTTTAAAAATGCAAAAGCTGATGATATATCACCTTTCCCCTAGATCCTTTATTTTTGGAACTGATAGATTTTAGGTGAGGAGAAAGTCTGGATTTAGAGTTATGCAACCTATTGTTTAACATCTGTGCATTTGCGTATCTTGCAATTCAATTAAATAGTAATTGTTTTCTTTTTTTCATATACCTTTTCTGTTTTGTTTTGTTTTTTTTTTTCCTTTTTCTGCTTAAATAATGTTGAGCTTCTTCCACTTATATAACTATGACTTCTCATTCAAAAGGGCACAACTTCTCCTGGGATAGACCAGTAGGTTTGCTTTATAACAAGTCTCTCTCACCTCTCCCAAGTATAACAGCTTTATTCAAATATAAACATACTCTGCAGTTCACTCATTTAAAGTATACATTTCAATGGCTTTTAGTGTATTGACGGAATTGTGCAGCCATCATCACTATCTTGTTCTGAAAAGAAACCCTTGTACTTCCCCATTATTCTCCAGCCCCCCATTATTCCCCAACTCCTAGTCACTCTCCATGATTTCCCAACTCCCAGCCCTAAGCTAATCTACATTCCGTCTTTATTTATTTAAATGCATTTTCTGTACTTTTCATATAAATGGAATCATATAATATGTGGACTTCTGTGATTAGTCTTTTGATTTAGCAAGAGATAAATCTTTCCAAGGTTCATCAAGGTTGCAGCATGTGTCAGTACTTAAACCCTTTTTATTGCTGAATAATATTTCCTTGTATAGATATATCACATTTTGGTATCTATTTATCAATGGTTGGAAAATTACGTTTCTATTTTTTGATTGTTAGAAATAATAGTGCTGTGAATGTTTATGTATGAATTTTTTTATGGACATTTCTCTTGATTATATACCTAGAAGTAGAACTTCTGAGTCATATGGCAACTCTATGGTTTAATCTTTTGAGGTCCTTCTAGACTGTTTTCCAAAGCAACTGCATCATTTCACATTCCCACCAGCAGTGTTTGAGGGTTCTAATTTCTCCACAGCCTCATCAACATTCGTTATTATTTTTTTTATTTTGCCCATTTAAGTGGATGTGAAGTGGTCTTCATTTTGTTTTTGTTTTTTTTTTATTTTTATTTTTTATTTTTTTTTTCATTTTGTTTTAAATTTTCATTTCCCTGATGACTGTTACTTTTTTAACATATTCTTAATTCTTTTTTCTGCTTTTCATTTTATTCTGTTTTCCCTTATGCCAACCATTATTTATTCTTTTCCAGACTTTCAACTCATACACTTTTATCCTAGGAAAGAGAGAGAGTGATTAATAGAGAAAATCTACTTCTCTCACTTTCTTTTATTAGAGCCTATAGACCAGAGTTTTATATGTCTTTTATTAAGGGATGTTAGGCCATATCTTTAGTGCAAGAGCATCAAGAAGGCCATAGCAAAAAGCTGTACAGAAAGGCATCTTCCAACTAGTAAAAGCCCCAGAAGTGAACTTTCAGGTGTGGGCAAAGGCAGTGAGACCCAAATTATCTCCTCAAAGCTGGTCTGATGCCTGCCTGTGAACATTCTTTCAATATACTCTGAGGAAAATGATATTAGAAATTTCTAGAGGCAGTTTAGGGCACTGATTAATTAGGAGTGTATCCTCTCAAGCCAACCACTTGGATTTGTGTTCTGGTGGCACTACTTTGTCACTGTGTATCTTTGTGCAAGTTACTCAACCTCTCAGGGCTTAGGTTTCCTCATCTGTGAGGTGAAGAATAACACCATCTACCTCAGTTGCTTGTTACGTGAATTAGATAGATTAATGCATGTACAGTGGTTAAATCTGTAGCTGGCACAAAGCAGTCAATAAATGTTAACCCTTCTAAGCACTAAACTCAGTGACACACAATGACATGCAGGAGCTGCAGACTGGATCATCATATCTCTCAGGCTCACTGAGTCCCTGGCAGCCAGCCTTAGGAAAGAACTCCTTATTTACCCTTTCATACCGAAGAGGCCGAGCAATTGTGCCAATTTGTGGCTTAGCGAATTGAAACAGGGTGTTCCACCTCCCTTTGATTGATGAACATTTAAGATTCTCCTGTTGCATTTGTACATTTTGGCTTAAATTGAAATCTTATCATAGCAAGGGCATGTGTGATAAACATGGTAGTCTGTGTGCAGGCTATTTGTGACTGAGTTGTGATATTGAGGAAATGGTATGTTGTTTTTTTTTTTTTTTTTCTTTTTAAAAGAGTATGTTTGATGTCTTTCTGTTTGTTTATTGCTAGTATGTAGTTAACAGGAAATTAAAAATCTAGCTTTCTAGGAAGAACTTTTGAGAGACTAGGTCCTTAACAGCAACTTGGAGGTGGAGGAAGGAAGGAAATGGTTTCAATAACTCTGGAGAATATGTTTGACCCTTGGAAAGGAGGAGCTTAGGATGGAGTATATCTAGGTATTGTACACTTGTCCAAAATTGGAGGCAAAAAGTAGTAGATCTGCTGAGGCTCTTCCTCCATAGGTGGGTGCTCAGAGTTTGATTTATGGATTCATGCTACCTTCATGGCCATTACTTTGATTGCTGAAGTCTACCTTTGCCGTAAACTCTGTAAAGGACCTAGCTGCTTTAATTTAATAAAGTTTTTTTAAGGACTCATTTTTCTAGAATATTTATGTG